TAAATGGATTAGGCCTCATGGAGATTCTGATAATTCTGCGATTTGAAAAGGATTTCGAATGCTTGGCGCATTCTCGAAAACTGGACCAAAAACAATAAACCCCTTTCAATTTTTACGGTATACTAGGGGTTACGATACAAAACATTTGTCTACGGAAGGGGTTGGAGAGGATTTGGTATGGGAGGTCTTGAAAAATGTGGGAGAACGGTGGGTTTACGGTCTTTTATAAGAGACTTGTGGTATCAAGTTGTATTCTGGGGACGCAGTAGGGTATGAGACCCAAAGATCAAACCTTAATGAATAGACCTTACCAAAGAGCACTGAAGAAACCCGTAGACGATTCCAAAATTCGTACTTCCAAAACATTTATGTGTGATGTATGGGAACAACGAGTACGTTCCTCCTATGCACGTGAAAAGTGTGCATACCTGAAAGGAACGAGATTTGTTGGGGTTACTGGTACATCATCTGGAACACAGTTGTCTCACCGCAGCCAGGAAGAAAACGGGATCACCCGCTACTCGAACTGTTGGTAAGAGCCATACAATGGCTGCTCCTACGGTACATACGATTGCCATGGAGAATTGGTAGGATGTCTGTAAGGAGACGTCTTAGGCACTGGTACTTTCTCTGTTTGGAAGAAATACTTGAAGCCATCAATTGGCTAGTTGCCAACTTCTTACTTCAAACCTTACCTTGTCAGCTACCACTCCCCACACAACTCGGCTGCATGCGTTGAACACCGATGCCACTGATCCAACCATGGATAGGTATAGGTCGCTGACGATGAACTTCTGACCGTAGGCCTGGAATAAATGCTACGGTAGCAGTCTTATGGTATTCATTGGATTCGTGTGCCATTTCAATGCAATATTAGTATAATGTAAATTTAGATCCCATTATTTTGGCATTATTTTAACGGAACTGGAGATCAACTTCTTTCAAGGATTGAGCATTACAATATTTTTCTAGGGTGATTGAATTTTGATAACATTTATTTACCGCCTTTATAGTTACACTCGAACTTTCTACGAAAGTCTCTAATGTTTAGCAGCTTTGGGTCAAAATGTTTTTGCAAATTTGTACTTTTAAGCCTGGGGAAAGAGCCTGGAGCCTTCCCTAGAGAAACGTAAGAATCTGTCCAGAAACATCTGACTGGACTGTTCCCTGTGACGAATCTGGAAGAAGTAGCTTACCTTGTATAACCCACTGACAAGCTGTACCCATACGGCATTACTGGCCAGTGATAGGAATAGGAGGAGGAAAGTTTTCGACTTTAGTTGGGTGGCAGTAGACGTCTCTCGGGTGTTCATGAGCAGAGGTTCGTTTTCAATGTCAAGTTGCTGAAAACATAGAATTTATGCCGATGGGACCCGAATTTCATAGTTTACTTACCTCAAGTGGTTGTCCAATAAACAAAAGTCCAACTGTCTGAAGAAGTGCAAAGACCACGGCCATCACAATAAACACTTGAGGTACCTGAATTGAGAATGAATTTGTCCCTTGACATTGTAGGCAGAATTCTTCGAGAAAGCTTTTTGGAGGTTCTGTTACATGTGGGAACTTTTGTAGCTGGGTTGTCACCTGGCGCCACAACTACGTAGGCTCAAGGAAAAAGACCAACATGAACCTAGGCTGTTCATGTCATCTTTCAATAAGGGCACTGTGCCAGTGCCCTTTCAGGTATCTTTTTGCCTTTTGGAATTTGAGATTTCTGCAATTTTTGGAAAATGTATAGTGCATGACCTAAAGGGGGAGTAAGGACTATTGCGATTCCCATAGATTTCTATGGCGTGTTTGTACTTTGTACGGTCGATACAATGTAGTTGCCAGTTCCTAACCTTTACTCGGTTTGATTAATCGAAATATTAGTCGTCTGAAAATGAGAAAGAGAATGGAATAAAATGACACCTGGATTCCGGAAATTGTTCCCAAAATATTATAATACTTCATTGTTCGGTATTTCTCCAAATAGAAAGCGAAAGCATGGCGCATCCAGAGAGGAATGGCCCGAGACGATCAGTTACTAACCTTTTCTTGTTTGTTTTTTGTGCATGACATCCGCTGGCCGCGACCGGCTTCGTCCCTCCGAAAAAATAGAAAGGACCTCCTCTTCAGAGATGCTGAGAAGTATTCATTGTTCTTGCGGAACTTACTACTCGTCAATTGGTGGGCTAGTATGGTAGTGATTACACTTGACGCTTCCATTGATTATAGCTATCGTCCATGGGTCTCATATTACACAAACTATCATGAAGCCCACTCATGAAGCCCACTTTTGGTCATCAATTAACACTAACTATGTATTTGTTGACATAAGGCATAAGACGCCGTAAAAGAGGTCGACCACTCAAGCAAGCTTTTCAGTGGATTGAAGCCATTGACCATATTTATACTGCGCTAGATGGAATGTCGTAAAGTCGACCATTGCCTCATTCTCTCCCTTCAAGTGCATCGCTGGAGAAGTAGAAGACCAAGAGCCACACTTCCGTAGCAATCCAAAGCTCCATAGTAGGAACATGGAGCTTCTGCTTGTGATCAAACCCGTTTTGGTGTGCGCTCTGCATTCGATTTCCATCCAGAATCGTAGCGGTATTTGGAAGCGCGTGTGGTCTATACAATGGCTTTTGGTAGCCTGCCGATGAACTGGACAGCGCTTTTATCCTCCCGGATCCTGCCGATGATCTGGTCAGCGCTTTTATCCTCCCGGATGAAATTGGTACCAATTGGCCGACCACATAGGGTAAGAAGGTTTGCTTGGTTGGGGCGGATAACGATCCCGGATTCAACCCGGACTGGTGCAGTCATGGTGCTACTCGGCACAACCCAGACTCGGTTCCTTCCATTTTTTTTGAAAAGGTAAGCCCTGACTGAACCAGGTTTCCGAATCATCGTGCTCTACCAACTTTCTCGGGAATTTCGACTTACCCTTTCGAGGAGATCTTCTTGAGTGAAAAAACCATCTTCATTTACTCGATAGTCGAGTGGATTAATGAAACCCGTTTGAAGAGGTGACAGAATAAAAGCTCCACAACCGTAGCCACCAACGATCATTCCACCGGCTAACCCGACATTTTCTGGAAACCACTAAAGGGAAAGAATTAACGATATAACTGAAAAGTACAAATACCGTAATACTTCTGTATGTAGAGCAACTCACACGTTGAGCTGTGGTCAGAATAGAGTTATAAGCTATGCTTGAACCAAAACTTGCAAAAAATCCCATCGACACTAAGACGGCGCCGAACGAGTGTTGTATGGAGTAGTATGTCAGCGCTATACTTGTCCTTAAAAAGACTTCTTGAGATCATCGAAATCGTTATCTCTCCATTTATTTGTTTCACTTAGTTATTTATTTTATTATACTTAAAAGAACAACTTAGCATGGAATAAATCTGAACGGGAAAATCACTCATGTAGTGGTGAACCTCCTGGACTCGCTCGAGCAGAGCAAATGTGCTCGTTGAAATACTACTGCGACCCGGATTAGTTGTAAAATGCATGGCGTATCCCAAGAGGGGTCAAACAAAGCTGATTAACTTAAACTTTTTGACTGTTGACTTCGGCCGCGGGGTTTTTTTTAAAGAATGAATCAAGCAAACACTTCAGGTAAGGTCTTCAGGTTCACTTCAGGCATTCTGAAGACGGGGCCCAGAGGTTTGTGAGTGAG